TCACATCGATGTTAGCGATCAACTTTCTTCCTTCGTACTCTCTGAACCTATCGAGCGCCTCGAGGGCATACTCGTCCACCTCTGCGCTCTTTCCGATAGCCTGAGCACCTTCGAACAATTTCACAAAGCTCAATCTCGCATTCTGCGCCATGGGTGCCAATTTGGCCTTGCCGTACTTGGCAGCATCGAGCGGTCGAAGGTCGGTAAAAGGCACCAGATCCAGCGATCCATAGTCTATCATGACCGTCTCTGCATTCTTGGCTGCCGGATGCGCACGAAGCACTTGCGCGCGGTACCACGCCCCATCGCCCGAGAACTTGGCTAGCACCAGTTCGCCTGAGCGAGGTGCGAAGGCAGCAGGCGCAGGAGCTGGAGCAGCGGCGTTCAGCACCCTCTGCATGCTCTCCAGTGCCGGAATGTTGCTGTCCAGCACTTGCACCGAAAAAGCAAAGGGCTGCGATTTGCCCGCGTCTCCCCGAACATCCGAGATGACCACATCTACGTACTCATCTCGAGCCGTCGTGGCAGTTGCAACGGGTGCCGCAGCAGTTCCTCCCCAGCCTTTGAAAGAGCTGGCAGAGGACGAGATGGCGGTGGGTGTGGAGCCATGGACTCCATTGGTGCTTGCAGAGGCGTCTTCTTCCACCTCTCCAGTCCAGTCTTTCCACAGTCCCAGCTTGCTCGCTTTTGCCCTCTTCTCAGCTTCAAACAGTTGCGGGCCGTAGGACAGATTCTCTGCAGAGTAAGCGTGCACGCTGGCCAGTCCCTGCTGGACGAGCAGAACGGCGAGATTGTCGGTCTTGTTGAGGTACAGCGCTCCGATGAAGCCTCCAGCCTTGTCGATGCTGTCCACCGACACCTCCACATCCCTCTGATTGGCTAGCTTAGTGCTCAACTCGTAGGCCTCTCGTCCAAAAGCTTCGTCCTTCTCACTAGGCCCTCTAGCCGTTCGCGGCGCCTTGATGCCAGCTAGCACCAGGACGATGCGCGCTCCTTCTTTAGGCACGAGCACCCTGAATCTCGAGGCGCTAGCCACAAAGTCCACGATGGCGTTCAGTCTGGCTCCCCTCTTTAGCGCCAGGAGGTAGCTGTTGGCCTTGCCAGCATTTTCCGATGCATCGACGTACTTTGGAGCTTCGGTCTTCTTGCCCGAATGCATGCCCTTCTTTTCCGCAACGGCGACAGACTCCGCCGAGACCAGCTTGTCAAACTCTGGGGATCGCTGCTCGTCGTCCCTGCGGTGCCTCATCACGGTAGCCAATCCTCGCTGGATCAGCAGCTCGCCGACGGATGCGCCTTTCGTCTCTTTGCTTCCCGTCGTCGTAAGGATGGTGGCGCAGCGACGCTCTTCATTTTGACCGTCCCCCCTCTTGATGTAGTCGATTTGGACTCTGACGGGCTTTCCGATGAGACGCTTTCGAAGGAACTCGCGCGCCTCGTGCGCGTAGCCCGCCTGCGCCTCATCTTTAGGCTGAGGCTGGCGAATGGAAGATAGGTAGATGCGTTCCTCTTGCGCATGGGCATCGTCGCGCTTGACATGGACCGTATCTCCGCTGACGATGCGCGTCACGACGGCGTCAAAGTTGCGCGGGAGCGTCGCAGCGGAAGGGTTGGAAGATGCTGAAGCTGCGTGACCTGCGCCTGCACCATTCGTTTGGCTCGAAGCTGGCTGCCAGTTCTTCCACATTCCCGCTCTCTTCTCCTTGGCTGAACGTTCGGCGTTTCTGTACCCTTCCATGCGACCTTGCAGCATGCCGCTGTGCCAATCCACCACCCTGGCCAGACCAGCGGAGAGCAGGAATTGCGCAATGTCTCCGACTGGATGCAGCGCTGTACCGATGAGCACCGTTGCGGTCTGCAGCTGAGCTGGAGCGCTGGAAGAGGTGGCGGCAAAAGGTGTGGGTGCGGTGGGAGCAGGCATGCTGAGCAGCTGAATCTTGACGTTGCGCTGCATCAAGCGCGACTCGACAAAGAACTTGGATTCCTCGCCAAAAGGTTCGCTGGGATCGTTGTTGGAAGCTGGTCCACCGCCTCCGGTGACGCGAGGAGCTTTGACGCCAGCCAAGCTCAGATTGATGATCTGATGATGACGCGCACCCAAAAAGAGTCTCACGCGGATCATGCTCCCATCCCTCACCTGCTCCACCACGCTATCGATCTCCTTGCCCTTCCACTCTGCCAAGAAGCTCGCGCTGTCCACCGGCATGTTGTAGTGCACGCGCAAGAGGTCGTCCGGTCCCCACAGCCCATTTGCGTTGGCTTGAGCCTCTTCTTGCACTTTGCGCTGAATAGACTTCCAGCCTCCCTGCTCCTCCTCTTCGGGCGTAGAGCTGGTGTTGCGCCTGGTATTGCTATCGTGCACCTTTGCATAACCAGCCGCGAGGACCTTGTGAGAGACGTTGGTGTCCGGCTTTCCAGGTGCTTCGGGGGGTAAAAAGACGTGAGCGAATACGCGAGGGTTGCCGCCCGTGACGGGAACGGTGTACTCCTGCCTCCAACGGATCTCCCTGCCGACGAGCAGTTGACGCAGATACTCCCTGGAAGCGAATGCCTGAGGCTCATCCTCCCTCTCTCGACTGCCCATTCGAGGAGCTGCTATGCCAGCAATGTGGATCAGCGACTCGCTGCTCGGTACAGCTACACCTACGCCCTTCGGCCGCACCACCACAGTGTCACCGCTCAGCACCGAGCGCACCACCCCACCTTGGAGCGGGTTGGCAGAGGTACCGACAGTGCCTGCTGCTGCTGCTGATGATGCTGATGCTGGCGAAGCTGCCGTTGCGGTTGCCGTTGCTGCAGAGGTGGCCATGTTGGTGGTGCGAGGGGTGTGAGCTGATCAAAGCGATTTGCGGGGGCTTGTATGCGCGCTGAAATGATCGACCGAGGTTCAATGTATGCTGCTGCTGCTGCTGCTGCTGCTGCTGATGTGATTGTGTGATGGTAGGTATGAACACGCGTGACCAAGGGCTGCCCTCGTCCCTCGTCACTCGAGTTAGACGGATGTGTGCCTGCTGCTGCTCCTTCTCCTTCTCCATCTCGCCTGATGCGCGTGCATGGGCTCACACTGACTCTTCCCGGTCGCATGGAATCACCGAAGGCGTGCGTGTGCGTGTGCGTGTGCGTGTGCGTGTGCGTGTGCGTGTGCGTGTGCGTGTGCGTGTGCGTGTCTCGCCTTCCCAGCAGAGTCAAGAGTAGCAGCACTTCTTCTCGTCTACTCGCATGTCTGCGCCCCCCGCCCGCGCTGCGCCAGCCAGCAAAGCGCCCAGCACAAACAGGTACGCTGCATCGTGCATGGTCACGCGATCATGCATGCAGCCATGGAATGCGGGCCTGCGCGGCGGTCACGTGAGCCAGTTTCACGGGTTGATCTTGATTCACGATTCCTTGCGCTCCATCTGCAACTTGGACCACGGCGCGCGAGACCACCGACTGTCCCAGCTTATAGCATCCATCCGTCCAATGGGTTCTTGTTGTTGTTTTTTTGAATCGCGCACCTCACTACTCACTGGCTCGCTTGCCTCATCGCTCCATCGGCGAATTTTCTAACAGCCTCACCGCCAACCCTGTGCCGTGCCCTGGCTGGCTCCCTGCTCCACCTCCCCACGCGCCATCCCCCACATCTCAGCATGCCTCGAGCAGAAGCAGGCAGCATCAAAGCCGTATCGAACAGCATCAAAGCCAAAGGATTGACCAAGCTACGTTTCTACTGTCAAATTTGCTCCAAAGCTTGCAGAGACGAGAATGGCTACAAGAATCACATCGAAAGCGAGAGCCATCTGAGACAGATTGCGGCGATTGGAGGAGGAAGCAATGCGGCAAAGACCATCGATCGATTCTCGGATCAATTCCAAAAGGAATTTGTGGCGCTGCTGAGTAGGAGGTGAGTGTGGTGCGCCGTTTGGTTCGGCGCGTCGGTCGTGTCGCGTTGGAATGTGGAAGAGATCACATGCTTGGCTGACAGCGCTTCACCTTCACTCGTGGTGCGAATGTATGCGCTGCATTTGCAGATTCGGCACGCGCAGAGTTCGAGCGAATCAAGTGTATCAGGAGTACATTCAAGAGCGACATCATCTTCACATGAACGCGACGCAGTGGCAATCCTTGTCGCAATTTGTAAAGCATCTGGGAAGGGAAGGCATTGTGAGAGCAGAAGAAAACGAAAAAGGCTGGTGGATAGAGTGGGTGGATAATTCGCCGGCTGCATTGGCTAGACAGGATGCCCTGCTGAAGATGAACAGGGCCAAGGTGGATGAGGAGACGAGGGAGAGGAAGTTTTTGAAGGAGCAAATCGAGAGGGCTAGAGCGGGTGGTGGAGGTGGAGAAGAGGAGGCGAAAGATGCGGAGCAGAAGCAACAGCAAGCCGATAGTGGCAGACTGGAGCTCCAAAGAGATGGAAATGCGCCCATCAAGATTGCAATCGGCCTGAGAGCCAAGGTGGCGGAAGGAGAAGCAGACAGTGAGCCCGATGCACCCAGCGCTAATCAATCGGTCGACAGCGGCTCCAGTTCCAATGCGCCAGCAGGCACATCGGTCAGCTCGACCTCGGCAGCCAAGCCGTTCAAGCTAGGCCTGATCTCCAACCCTCTCAAGAATGGCGTCGGCGGCGGCGGCGGCGCAAGCAGTCGATCCAACGCTTTCAAGAGCGCGAGCACGAGCGGGGCGACTGTGCAGACGAGGGGATCGGGACATGCGAGACCCGCGCTGACTGCTGCGGAGAGGATCATGGCTGAGGAAGAGGAGAGAAAGAGAAAGAGACAGGGCATGGGACCTCAACCTTCTGCCAAGAGGATGAGAATGTGAAAAGGGGAGCCAAAAGGCGAGAGGTTGGCTGGGGGGATCGCGGGTGCGGTGCGGCGCGGTGCGATGGATGAGCTGAGCTGAGCTGCTGATTTGGTGTGTGCGCATGCGCGCCCTTCGCCTGGATTTGGATCGTCGAGCCGATGCACCCGGCTCCTTCTCTCTCTCTCTCTCTCTCTCTCTCTCTCTC